GGGGGGGGGGAAGGGGCGTAGATGCCTCTCTCCCCCCGAGTTTCAGCGGCGATAATGTTTAGGTTTTTCCTTCTTTTATTTTGTTGTTTTCCTTTGTACTTTTGTATTTATACTGTTCTGCATTTTGATTAATGAAGAAGACTTTTGCTTAAATATTGCGCACAGTTTATTCTTTTTGCGTTGAATTAGATAAGGATTCAGGTGTATTTTTGTCCGATAGCTTCTTGTTCCGGGCATATTATTTTCCGAAATCAACCCTTCACTTTGAGGGTTTCATAAGAGAGGGACCTCTTATTTTTACGGTGCTTTTGAAAAGGACGCCTCCTGTTCATTTCGGCACAAGCATTTGAAGTTTTCTATTAACTTTCAAATGATAAAATTAACTAATCGTTTAGACAAGAAACAAGATAAAAATAAAAGGACTTTATTTTATTCCTTTTATCTTTAAAGGTACATAAGCATTCGATTGCTAAAAAACAAAATTGCCAATACATGTGACTAACTTGCACAACTTGTTTGTATAGGGCTGGCCATAAGCATTTGATGAGACATTGTTGTTCTCGGGTCTCGTAGTCCCAATTTTCATGGAATCCTTACTTCCGTATCCAATACTAATTCCCCCAGTGTTTGAATGCGAAGTATGCAAATTAGAATACTGGAGGTCTTGCTTCGTTGGTTGAAACATTTGTGAACGGTTGAATAGTATTTGGTTCGATGGCAAGCTTTACTTCCCATTAGGAACTTGCCATCGAGCCTAAGATTATTTAACCATCCCATAGTGGTTTATCAATTCAATGCCTTTTTATTTGAAGGTCTTAACTTTGCCGATGACGCTTCCTTTGTAGTATGATTTTTGTTGCTGCCTCGTTAAAAACCTTTCCATAAAAACCTAATTGGGGCAAAAACTAGTCGAAGGGAAAGAGAGTGCAGCACATACTTTCAGTATAGGTAGGATCCATCAGCAGTAATACCTTTTGAGGTGAGTCATGTTCCAATTTATAGGCAATTTGTCTCCTTCCCGATTTTCTAGCTTGTACGATCCTTTATCGGTGACAGCTAAAACTCGGTAGGGACCTTTCCACGCCAGATCCAGCTTCCTAGTGTTGATTTCCCGAGTGCTCTGAAATCTATTTTCTCAAAACTAAGTCTCCTAATTTGAAGTAACGGAGATTAGCCCTCCGATTATAGTATCATCCCATCCTTTGCTTTTGAGCCACTATTCTCACGTGTGCCATGTCCCTACATTCATCGAGTAGATTCAGCTTCACCAGTAATGCCTTATTATTTGCTTCTTCATTTGTTCGGGAGAACCGTAAGGTTAGTTTCCTTACTTCCATCAGGAACAGAGATTCCGCGCTGTATACAAGAGAGAAAGGTGTCTCTCCCGTGCTTGATTTTGTCGTTGTCCAATACACCCATAACACGCCCGGTAACTCTTCGAGACACTTGCCTCTAGCCGCTTCTAACCTCTTTTTGAGGTTTTGAATAATCACCTTATTGGTCAATTTTGCCTGTCCATTAGCGCTCGGATGGTATGGTGAGGACGTAATCCTTTTAATTTTCAGGTCTTTAAGAAATTTTGTGACTTTGGAGCCTATGAACTGTGGTCCGTTATAACAGGCAATTTCCTTTGGTATTCTTAATCGACAAATTATGTGTTCCCACAGAAAGTCGGTCACTTCGTGCTCACCGATCTTTTGGTTAGGATCTGCTTCAACCTATTTAGTGAAGTAATCAGTTAAAATTAAAAGGAATCTTTCCTTTCCGGGACCTGGTGGCAGCAGACCAACTATATCCATCCCCAATTTCATGAATGGCCATGGGGACAGTACCAAATGCAAGAGTTCCGCCGGTTGGTGCATTTGTCGCATTTCTGAATGAACGTCTTTGCGTCGTGTTCCATCCGAGGCCAGTAGTATCCTATCGTAACCAGCTTTAGTACCAACGAATCTGCATTGGAATGGTTCCCGCAAATTCCTTCATGGACTCTCTCATGACGTAGTCCGCCTTTGAGGCTCCTAAATATCGGGCCAACAGGCCTTGGTACGATCTCCTATATAATTGTCCACCAATGAGGCAGTAACGAGCCACTTTGGTGCGTAGTGCCCGGGATGCCTTCGGGTCTTCGGGCAACTTGCCATGCCGAAGATACTCGATGAACTCATTCCTCCAGTCCCAGACTAAGTTGGTTGTATTTACTTCACAATAGCCATCCGCATCTAGTACAGAATGCAGAAGTTGAACAACAGTACCAGAGTCGGATCCTATCATCTCATTAGACGACCCCAAATTACCCAATGCATCTGCTTTCACGTTCTCTACTCTCGGAATATGTGTGATCGACCATTCCCTGAATCGTGCAAGCAATGCCTGAACTTTATTCACATACTGCTGCATACGTTCCTCCTTTGTGTCGAAAATCCCGTACACTTGGTTTACTACCAGCTGGGAATCACATTTGATCTCTATGACCTCAGAGCCAAGTCCCCGGGTCAGTTCGAGTCCTGTAACCAAAGCCTTATACTCAGCTTCATTGTTAGTTAACGGAACAGTTTTAATGGCCTGCCTCTGGGTTTCCCCCGAGGGCATGATTAGAACCACCCCGAGCCCAGACCATTTCACATTGGAAGCTCCCTCCATGAATAAGGTCCAAACCATTGATGTCATTTTTGACACCAGCACTACTTCTTTAGTAGCCAGGGGCAATAACCCGGGACTGAAATTGGCCGCAAAGTCAGCCAAAACTTGTGATTTGATCACAGTCCTAGGCTTTTATTCAATATCGAACTCACTAATTTTGACTGCCCATTTGGCCAACCGGCCTGACAACTCCGGCTTGTGAATAACATTCCACAAGGGGAAGGTTGTCACAACGACTATTGGGTGGCACCGAAAATAAAGCCTTAGCTTTCAGGAGGCGACTAGGAGAGCTAAGGCCAACTTTTCGATGTCACAATAGGAAATTACGTAACTTCATCCTCCCGGACTAGAACGACACTTATCGCTACTTCCGAGACCGCTATATATATTAGTAATTGTTCACCTTCCCCCAGTTTTGATAGTAGAGAGGGGCTTGATAGATAATGTTTCAGGTCTTTCAAGGTCTGCTAACATTTCTGAGTCCATTCGAAATTGTTCTTCTTCTTCAGAAGTGAGAAGAAGTGATGACACTTTTCCGAGGATCGAGAGATGAACCTGCTTAAAGCGGCCAATCTTCCGGTTAGCCTCTGTACTTATTTTACGCTCGTTAGTTGGTCCGGGATGTCTTCGATGGCTTTGATTTTATCAAGATTTACCTCGATCCCTCTCTGTGAGACCAAGAAACCCAAGAACTTACCGGAACCAACCCCGAACGCATATTTTTTCGGGTTGAGCTTCATGTTATACTTTCTCAAGATATCGAAGGTCTCTTGGAGGAGCTTTAAATGATCACCTACATTCAAAGACTTGAGCAACATGTCATCTATATACACTTCCATTGTTTTACCTATTTATTTTCGAACATCTTGTTCACGAGCCTCTGATAAGTGGCTCTAGTGTTTTTAAGCCCGAAGGGCATTATATTATAACATTATATGCCAAAGTTCATTATGAACGAAGTTATTTCCTGATCCTCCAAGTTCATCTTGATTTGGTTGTACCCGGAATAGGCATCAAGGAAACTCATTAACTTGTGCCCGGTCATTGCATCAATCATTTGATCAATGTTTGACAATGGGAACAAGTCATTAGGGCACACTTTATTCAATTCCTTATAATCTACGCACATTCAAAACTTGTTATTCTTTTTTAGAACCATAACTACATTAGCTAACCATTTTGAACCAATGTCAAGTATTCAAGTTACCTCTTCCTTAACAAAACTATTTCTGACCTCGAATATTAGGCGTTTCTTTTACCTTACGGAAGGGAAGCTCGGGTCTAGGATTAGCTTGTGCACGGCCACCTCTGGTGGGATACTTGTCATATCATGACCATGCAGAACAATCAATGCTAGCTTTAAGGAAATTAATAAATCTTGACCCGAGTTCGGGATTGAGTCCTATTCCCAAGTGAAACTTCCTTTTCAAGAATTCTTCGAACAAAGCCACTTGCTCGAGTTCTTCTGCCGTGGATTTGGTTGCTTCTGTCTCTTGCGGTACCTGAAAGTATCTCAGTACCTGGTGGGATTCCGACGACTTCTCTCCTTTATAATCTTCACTTGGCAAAAATGCAGGCGTCGGTTCCTGTAATTGCTATCTGCTGGGCTCCTTCCCTTTACTGCTGGAAATTGAAGCTGCGTTCATTTCTCTTGTTGTCGGTTGATCTCCTTTTATCTTCTTGATTCCCTCTGGGATCAGGACTTTTAGAAGTTGGTGATATGTTGATGGTACGTCCTTTATCTCATGTAATCATGGCCTTCCGATTATTATGTTGTAGCCCATGCCGTCGTCCACCTCTTTAAATAAGGTGGTATTTGTTATCTCTTCGGCGTTCGTGGGCAGCATGGTCTCTTGTTGGGTTGTCACACTTGCCAAGTTGAACCCGATGAGGAGCTTTGTTGCCAGAATGATACTTCCAGTTAATTTTGCTTGTTCCAACATTCTCCATTGAATGATGTTGGCTGAACTTCTTGGGTCAACCAAAACACGCTTAATCTTGAAATCTAGGACATTAAGAGAGATTACCAGGGCGTCGTTATGCGGCAGAAGAAGTCCATCGGTGTCTTCCTCCCTGAAGGTGAAGTCATCTTCGGTGACTTCTCGGAGTCTCTTGCTGTGGATCACCGATACCTTTATCTTCTTAGCTGCCGAGAAGGTTACACCATTGATTTCATTCCCTCTGAAAATCTTCGAGGGTTCTGCGTTGTCCCGGGTGCGGCCATAATTGTTCTTGGCTCGGTTTCTCAAGAATTCCCTGAGATGGCCATTTTTCAACGACGTCGCCACCTGCTCGCGAAGATGCCGATAGTCCCTAGTTATGTGGCGGTGAATCCCATGATATTCACACCATAAGTTAGGATCCCTCTGGCTAGGATAGGGTCTGATTGGCTTCTGGAATCTTGTTTGATATTCCTCATCGCCGATACCAACTTCACTATGCTGATGTTAAAATTGTAATATGACAACATGGGATGTGTGGAATCCCGGGTCCCCAGTATCTCTTTTCTTGCAACAAACTGTTATTCGAGCCACGGTCAGTTCTTCTATCAGGAACGAACCCATCTGAGGACCAAAAGCCTTTGATGCCGCGTCCTTCGGTTCTCTCGTATGGAAAGAAGCGGCCTTTAGAAGATCGTCGGTCTGCATCGAAATCACCTTTGAACTTATCCCGGTTCTTGTCTCGGTCCCGCCCCTTGGTTGATGTCGGGAACCCGAGCTGATTATGTTCTATCCTTATTTTTGACTCATAGCGGTTATGAACATCTGCCCATATGGTCATTTGGAATTCGAGTATGTTTTCCTTCAACTTTCGGGAGGCATTGGAGCTCCTCAGATTCAAACCCTTTGTGAACGCCTCTTCTGCCCATTTGTCTGGTACAACTGGTAGCAACATCCTCTCTTTCTGGAATCTGATCACGAATTCCCGTAGCAATTCAGACTCACCTTGTGCGATTCTGAATATATCCGCCTTCTGACTTGAACCTTTCTGACTACGGCATGGGACTTAATGAATGAATCTGTAAGCATTTCAAAAGACTCAATTGAATACTCGGGTAAGAGCGAATACCATGTCAAGGCCTCCTTCGTGAGGATTTATCCAAACTTTTTCAGCAGAACCGATTCGATCTCATGTTGAGCCAAATCGTTTCTTTTCACAACTGTTGTATAAGTTGTGATGTGCTCCTGATGGTGCGAAGTCCCAACGTATTTTGGTATGTCCTGCATCTTGAACAACTTTAGGATTAACTCCGGTGCTGCGCTTGGTTTATACGACAATTGAGTATATTTTTCCGAATCCGGGCCATTCGGGCATGAAACTCCTTCACATTGTGTTCCATCCGTTCGTTCATCATCCCCATCGTACATCACATTTTGTACATTTCGGGGGTACTGTCATCCACAGATCGGGGTTGCCTCATCCCCATCGTTGCGGGTGTCGCTGATTGAATCCTCATGTTGAGGTAGATTTTCATGTCCTTCAATGTTGTGTGCGACGTTGACATCGTTAGCTGCCATTTTTGATTTTTTGCTAAGGAACAAAGAATCAAACAAGTTAGTAATAAACTCAAGGATCAACTCAATTATGGAACTGTCTAAGCCCCACGGTGGGCGCCAAATAGTTTAACCATAAAACGGTACTGTTGAATTTGTTATGTGGTTTATAGAAAAACGAACTAATTTGATCCAAAAATGATAAATAAACAAGATTAAAAAAAGACTTAGCGGTTAAAATCAAAGAAAATGACAAGCCTGTCCCCGAGAGCAATGCCTCCAGGGACAGAAATAAGAACAATGTAAAGAGTAAAAAAGTTATTTTATTGAGCTTGAGAATGGAATATAGCATATGTTTTGCCAAGAATTTTGTGTGTTACAATGGCCGTTCAGACTATTACTTATAGCCATACCTAGGAAAACAAGATCATAGGATCAAGCCCCTCTTAAATGACATTAAAGGGGGCATTGATGAATATGTAATGACAAGCCATGAATGTAAATATTATCTGCAATGGCTGCCTATTTAATGCCATGGAATATTCCTCATTGAATGCTAACCGATGGCAAGCATTCGATCTGCTCAAGTTGATCATGCTCCCTTTAGCGTCTATCCGATGCCATTTGTAGTTGTTGTTCTCGGTACAGAGTGTTACTTGATTTATTTTTTACATGTCTTCGGTTCCACGTGTCACACTACTAATCGATCATTTAATATAAACCAATTTTACCCTATACAATGAATAATATCTCTGTACTTTTCATGATTTTGAAATGCTTCCATTCTCTTAAATGCTATTCATCATCAATAACATTCAACTTTACAAAAGAAGAAAACGAGGGAACATAAAAAAAGAGCTTGATAGTTGAATTGATGCTACCTGTGTACTTGAAAGCTAAATATTTTCCATGAGGTAAAAAGAGGGAACATACTATGCGCATTTTCTAACGTTTTGTATTTATGTTGGTGATCTTTTTAGTGTTATTGTATTAGTGAAAAATAGACTCGCCACATGGGTCAATACGAAAGAAGTGAAGAATGACATGTAAAATACATTCGGAGCCAAGCATATTAGTATTGTACCTATTAGTCCAGAAAAAGAACATGAGAGAATAGTCCCGAGTTTGATAGAAAGGATCGGTAATAGATATAAATAAGGAAAAACTCAACTAATCCCTGATCATACGAGATTTGTCATTATTACGCCATCAATTACGAATCAATTATGTAACACACAAGAAATGAAATAAATGACAGTAACATGCAGGAGTAGAACAAGGCAATTTGTTATGAATATGATTACTATTTAAACCCCTATTCCTTACATTGTATCCCCACCTGAAAATTATTGAATTATTCTAACAATCTCAATGTTCTATTTCTGGCAATTTGATATTTCTCTTATTCAGAAGAAAAGCTTTTTCCATCAACAAGAATTCTCGTTCCTTTTATCTCTTTATTATTTCACTCAATTGTTATGCATCTATTATATTGTTCTTATGTGGAAAAGTGAGTTAAATCGATTGTTAGTGCCCTGAAATACAAAATTAATAGCTTTGACCTTGAAAACTATCTTTTGGGTTAACAAATTTGGTTCCGCTGCCAGGGTCTCTAACAATCATTTACTTTTCCTATTCATATTTTGTTCATTTCTTTACAAAATTATGTCTGGAATTAACCAAATCACTCATTATAAAAATAGTCGAGAAGGAACACCAAGAAATTCACCTACGAATTCTCCACGTCAATCTCGAAAAAATTCGCCAGTAAGATCTGCTAATCGTAGTGAGGAGCAATCAGGCTTGCAGGATGATTTGAAGAATTTATTGCTCAGCAAATTGGAGTAGCATTGAGAGCTTTAATATGCAATATAAAGGATGAAACTTCAACAAAACACTCGCAAGTTAATATAACTGCATAATTCCCAACTCAGGGCTTGAAAATTGAGGGAGTAGGGAAGTTCCAAATAGTTATGGAGCTGGAGGTCCAGGTACGCTTGGTAATTTGGATTTGTAAAATTTAGTTCTAACCTTGTAAAAACAGCTCAAGGAACGAAACGAAAGAATAGAGCCGATCCCGGGTGTTTCACTAGTGATGAAAGGTGTGGATAAATATTCACAACAGCCATGGAAACCTAGTGCATCACAATTACCGATACCAAAAAAATTCAAGATGCTGGACATATCCAAATATGATGGAACTTTTGATCCAAAAGATCATATAATTGTGTTCACTACAGGGGTGAAGGGCAAAAATTTTACAAAACCGGAGATTGAATCAGTGCTGGTGAAGAAGTTCGGAGAAACCCTCAGCAAAGGGGCATTAACATGGTACTCTCTTTTACCCGAAAATTCGATTGATTCATTTGTTGAACTTGTAGATGCATTTATCAAAGCATATATAGGGGCACAAAAAGTAAAAAAATATATGGAAGATATCTTTAAGATACAACAGGGAAGCACCAAATTGCTCAGATAATTCGTGTATCACTTCTAACGAGAGACGATGCTGTTACCACCTGTGCTTGGAAATTTGGCAGAAATAGCTTTTTGTAACGACTCGACCGATCGTTTTGAGCTTTATCATTCCATTCGGCGGTTTAAAATTTTGAGTAGCTTCATATGATGTATTATGAGTTGTGTGTATGGTTAATTTCACAGTTGGAGAGGCTCAACATTGATTTGGAAGGGTGATTTTCAATTTGAAAGCTTAATGTTTGAAAGAGTTGACCAAAGTTTGACTTTTGAGTAAACAAACTAGAAATTGAGATTTGATGATTTCAATAGGTTTGTATAGCGATTTTGGACTTGAGCGTATAATTGGATTTGAATTTGGATGTTCCTAAAAGATTTTGGTTCTATTTGTTAAAAGTTGGAAATTTTAGAAAATTAGAGAGTTCATAGGTTTGATCGAAAGTTGACTTCGATGTTATCAGACTTCTATCGTGATTTTGAGATCTTGGTTAGGTTCAATAGTTGATTGGAACTTGTGTACAATGTTTGGTTGTGATCTGGAGGGTCTGAGTGTGGTTCAAATGAGTTTGGCGAAGCTAAAAAATTTGAAAGTTAAGAGAATGATTTTCATGTGTGATTCTTGGTTTTGATATTATTTGTTGTATTTGGAGCCTTTAGATAAGTTTGGTTAAGGTATTGGACTTGTTGGTATGATTGGACAGGGTTCTGGGGGCCTAGGGTGTGATTCAGGGTGATTTCAGATCATTTTGGTTGAGTTTGGAGTAACTGATGTGCTGGTGTGTTGCAGTGAATCGTGATTGCAGAGAAAGATTTGGAAGAAAGGAAGTTGTTCATCATGTTCACTGTCAGTCTCACGCGCGCGTAGTGTTGAGGGGCAGAAGCTTCACGTTTGCAGGTGCTTGTTCGCGTTCACATAGAGTTAGTTAGGATGGTCCTTGCGTTCGCATATAATGCTTCACGTTCGCGAAGAAGGGCAGTGTGGCAGGTCGCTTTTATGAATCACGGGGGACCAGTCACGACCGCAAAGGGTAATCTTGGGCAAACTTTATAAGTTGAAATTTTACCCATCCTTTCATATTTTGAGCCTTAGACTTCGAGAGGAGGAGATTTTGAAGAGCAATTTCACTACTACATTGGAGGTAAGTGATTTTCACTTGGATTTGGTTTTATATATTGATTGCTCAAGGATTTCTACACCTAAAAATATGGAATTTAATGGGAAATTTATGTTTTTTTTCTACACTTTAAGAGAGTGTATTTTAGGAATTTGAGTACTGATTTAGAATCAATTTTGTAAACTAATTAAATACTTGGACTCGGCAGATTAAGAGTCATCGGATTTGGGTATTCGTTTTGAAATTTGGGCACGCGGTCCCGGGTTGACTTTTATTGACTTTTTATGAATTCTTCAAAGATCGAAGATTTATGGTTTGGGATCACTTTCTATAGCATTGTTTAACTTCGTTGGATGATGTTTGGCTTGGGTTTGCATGATTAGAGGGCTAAAGCAAGGTTTTGACGTGATTTGAGGTTGAAGACTAGCCCAAATAAGGTAAGTATATTGCCTATGCTTGGATTGAGGGTATTTTACCTGTATGCTATGATGCTTGTTATATGTTGGGGGTGACGCGTATGCGAGGTGACGAGAATATATGCATACACTGTGATTATTCATGATTTGTGTAGACCTTAGATTATTATATGACTTGTGTTGCTATTATGCCTCTTTGATACCGTGGTTCCTCCACTTGTATGATTACGTGAGCTATTACTCATGCTAGAAATCATGTATAGGCTATTTGCTTATCTGATTGAGATATGATAGAGATATTTTTGCTATGTTGAGCTATTTGCCTTAGCCGTGGTCATATTTTTCAGGTGTGCTATTATGTTCGTATGTTATATCTCTATCTCTGTGCACCCTTTATATGTTATCTCACATGTTATTTTGTCCTTATGTGTGACACGGGTTTGAACTGAGTTGTGGTATATTGGTATATTCCATTCGGTGTTTTGATTATAATATTGTGAGATATGGGTAAAATGAAACATGAGGAGACTAAAGATTGATTTTTGGACATAGAGCCATATTGAGCGGATTTATGATTGATCTTGGGCCATAGAGCCATATTCAGTAGATTGATGACTGATCTTAGGCCATAGAGCCATATTGATATTGATATTAAGGTGACGCTTGGTTAAAGTCCCTATATTTGGCTGAGTGATATTGATCATTGACTTTGATTCGATCAGCGCTTGGGCTAGGATTTCCCACTCCGAAATCAGGTGATAACCCATGTTACTTTGAGCCATGTGAGTGCAGGCAAACGAGATGTGCTTAGTAAGAGACTTATGTCAGGAACCTATATAGTGCTGAGTGTGTGTGTTTGTGATGATTC